GTCCTTCTGCTTCTGTGGAAGCTTGTTCTGCAGAATGGCCGAGCACTCCTCGCTGAGCTCCACAGTGGCCAGCTCGCTCAGCCTTCGCTTCTTCGAGAGAAGCTCCTTGAGGAACTTTGCATACTTAGGCATCTGAGATAGTGCCTCCATGAAGGGCACTTGAACATGCAGCTTCCTAAGCATGGACGAGAAGTTTCCAAACTCTGCCTCTAGCCTGTCTTTGTGAATCTTGGTGGGAAAAGGGAGCTTAGGCTTGTATTAAGCCACTACTGTTTGTGGCTTTGGAGCTTAATCCTTTGGCTCATTTTTCATCACCAGGTCTTCTTCCGGCTCTGGAGTGATCTAGGTCACCTTCATGGCACTCTTCTGCGGTGCATCCGCAGTCACAGTCCCACTTCGCAGCGTAATGGCATGCAACCCCTCCTTATGATTTCTAGGATTTGGTAGGGGTTGGCCAGGAAGTGTGCTAGCCGGTCTGGAAGCAAGGGCATCTGCCAGGTGCCCGATCTTGGTATCCATATCCTGTAGGAGTGCTTGCTGGTTTCTCTGGCCAGCTTCAATCTCCATGAATTTGCCTGTAGCCGCTTCCATGAATTGCTCCAATTTGTTGAACTTTTGGGACTAGTGCTTGCCAAGGTAGTCACTAGATCCCTCAGTTCTGACACGGGATCGCCCGGTGCCGCGACTGATGGAGGTGCACCAGGTTGCTGGCACTGCTGCTGTGGAGGCTGTTGAATAGCATGCCCCTATCTGAGCTGATAGAGTGGTTGTTGTTGCTGCATCTGGCCCGGGCGAGGCTGGTATGGAAGCCAGGTGGCTTTGGATTGCTGTTGCCACTCCATGAGAAATTTGGATGCTGGCGCCATCTCTCATTGTAGGTATTACTGTAAGGATCGTTGCACCTGGCATTGTTGATGAAGTTCACCTGCTTTTGGGGAGTAGACGACTCCCTCATCGCTTGACAGTCCTCCACGGTGTGATGGGAACTGTCACACCACTAGCAGTGCATCGCCTGCTGCTGTCCTGTATCTACAATCATCCCAGAGCGATCGATGGCTGAAACCAGTTTTGAAACCACCTGCACCAAATCAGATGACTGGGTGGCTACAACATGCACACCCCGCCCTGGTGCTCGTCTCGATCTCCTCGCAGTTCCCTAGTCATAGCCCTGCTCTGCCATCTCTTCAAAAAGTTGATTCAGCTGTGGCGGTGTTTTGGTGAGGATATTCCCGCCACAGATCGAGTCAATCAGCTGCTAGTCTTCCCGGAAGAGGGCATGGTAGAAGGTGCCCACCTTGAAGGCGTCAGTAAAACCATGGTTGGGACACTTGAGAAAGAGGCTGGTGTATCTCTCCCAAGCATCCCGAATGGTCTCATCTTCGTCTTGAGCAAAGTGGGTAATTTGCTTCTGCAGGTCCGCCGTCTTGGACGGAGGATGGTAGCGAGTGAGGAACTTGTCCGCCAGGTTGGCGAACGTGGTGATCGATCCAGGGGGTCGAGTGTCTAGCCACTCCTTGGCCTGCCCCTCCAGAGTAAATGGGAAGTACCTCAGCTGGATAGCATCGGCTGAGACCCCATTTATCTTAATTCCATTGATGAGCTCGTGGAATCACCTCAGATGTGATCGGGGGCACTCCCCCTCCTTGCCTCGGAACACCACCGAATCGCGCAGCATGGTGATGACAGAGGTCCTCACCTCAAAGCTATTCACTGGCACATGAGGGTGCTGAATGGAAGACCTCATGTCTGCGGCTCTGGCGGTCCAGTAGTATCCCACTGTCTGCTCCTCAGGAAGGACCACATCATGGTCCTGTGGGTCCCCCATCTCTTCTTCATCGGCGATTTGCTGCAGTGCTAGCGCCTCCCCTGCAGCCAGTCACAACTTTAGAGCCCGCTTGAAGTTCCTACAGGTCCGTTCAAGCTCCTAGTCTAATGGTAGTAGATCTCCCGACTGGCTACGGGTCATGCACTACCTGCACACAATCAGCAAACCGTGAAGGCACACAGGTGGAAGAGAGAAAATGCAGTAAAGAAAAATCTAGAGTAACAAAATTTCACGTTTCTCCAATAACCTAGAGGTTTCCCGACAACGGACTGCAATTACACCTAGTCGCAGTTTGGTGTTGTGTTTTAGCGTGTCAATAAATAGCTCACTCTCGACCAGTGGGGTCAGGACAGAATTTTGATGCAAGATGTGCATACTCATACTCTCATTCCTAACGTCTCTTCACCATGACGGCAGCCTCTAAATGTTAGAGTTTATATATCGGGTGTCATCACTAACTAATCTGGAGGTCTTAGGCACATGTTCAGATGACTGGCTAGGGTCTTGGACATGGGGAAAAGGCCTTTTAGGTGGTGGAAGTATTCATAGCACAAGGTTCCACAATTCCAAACGCAACACAATCACAGTCAATCAAACCACTCTTTCTTTCTGCCATTCTGCATTACTAACATTCTTTAGAGCACAAGAGCGAAGGAGGTCACATAAATGTTAGTATTTCCAAGCCACACTGCTAAGAAACACTACTCAATGGGCACTATTCGGATTTTGTGGTGGTGGCTCTCTTTTGCTTTCATTCATTTTTTCTTTTCTTTTTTTTTTCATTTTTTAAGAGAATCGCCACCTGTGCACATTTTTCAACACACATGCCCAACTTTTTTAAGAACTACCTCCAACCCTCACATTATATTTAGCAGAAACATTAGAGAACATGTAAAAACCACTCTGTGGAACCTTCTAAAAGATGCAAAGGGGTGGTTTCCATTGTAGACCGAAAGAAAGGATAACACATGGCTCAAAGGGCTGACTAGGGGGTATGACACATCAGGACAGTCAATTTGGTCGTGGGCTAATCCTATGCCTCCATCATCTTAGCTAATGGCAACATGAATGCTACACATCATGGAAGAGGGAACTATGGCACAAGAAAGAAACGAGCATGCTCAAATCTCACATGGCCACCTATATGCTCTATCTCTCATTCTGATTCCCTAAACTAGATGCATAAATGACTGTCAAGAACAAGTGATTAATCCAAGTCACAGTTGGTAAGCAAAAAGTTGAAAAACTGAACCCCTACACAGTTCTATTGCACGTCTCAGTCATCATTATAGACTGTCCTAGTTACAATCAAGTTGTCATGCATTAATTCGAAAGCCATTCGATTCACCAATCAAATCCACAGTGCTAATACGATCAAACATCAAGCAAACAACAGTACTTGGAGCCCTCAAATCTCGAGATTTGGACAGCGGACTAGGCTCCAAGCACACATATATACGCTCCAATGAATACAAAGAACCCCCCCCCCCCCACACACACACACACTTAAATGCGACAGTGTCCTCAATGGAGCAGAAGGAAGGGGAACGATGTTACCGTGAAATGAGATCAGGAACGGGGACTGGAAGGCAGACCAGTCAGTAGTAGGGGACTGGAAGGGGGACCAGTCCAAGGCATAGAGCTAAAGTCATCAAAAGACACACACTGGGTGAAAGAACCGGAGTTCCAAGTGGACAAACCGAAAAACAAACGAAAGAAAAAAAAACCTTGGTGGGGTTGCCTCCCCACAAGCGCTTATTTACCGTCTTTTAGCAAGACGCCAGTAGGTTGGATGCTCAAAGAGGTGAAGGAACATGTGCCTTCAAGAGCGGATCCACATCGCTCTTGAGGTACAACTTCAGGTGGTGGCCATGCACTCGACGAGTCTGACCACCAGCACTCGTCAACTCAACCTGGCCATCCGGCAGGATGCAAGCAGTGAATACTCGGATGGCCAAGGTGGTCGAGGTTCAGGGGGCAGGACCAGCTCATAGTGGTCTCCGGATTTCTTTTGAGAAGGCTTAGCTACCTGCAGTTTCAGCCGCCACTCCTCCTTGATCTTTTCCTTTGGTGTCGGGGTGGACGGGAGTGGCGGCGAAAATATGAGAGGGGGATCCTGCAAAATGGGAAGCACAGAAGGATACACGACAGACTCGTGCTCCTGGTGAGAAATAGCATGCAAAGGCGATGAAGCAAGGAGAGTATTAGCAATGGAAAATGTTATTCGCTCCTCGTCATCCCTCAAAACTAAGGTCCCATCATGTACATCTATAAGAGCCTTGGCGCTGGCCAGGAAAGGCCTTCCCAGTATAAGGGGCACTTCTGTGTCCTCATTGATGTCCAAGACAACATAATCCACAGGATAAAAGAATCTGCCAACCTTAACCATAAGGTCTTCCACTATGGCCCTAGGATGAACTATAGATCAGTCAGCTAGTTAGATACTCATCCTAGTTGCACAAGGTTCACCTAGGCCTAGTTTCTTGAACAATTTATATGCTATCACATTAATACTAGCACCTAGATCCGCCAAGGACCTCTCTACATGCAATTTACCTAAAGAGAACGGGATAGTAAAACTACCTGCGTCCTTCTGCTTCTGCGGAAGCTGGTTCTGCAGAATGGCCGAGCACTCCTCGCTGAGCTCCACAGTGGCCAACAAGCTCAGCCTTCGCTTCTTCGAAAGAAGCTCCTTCAGGAACTTTGCATACTTAGGCATCTGAGATAGTGCCTCCATGAAGGGCACTTGAACATGCAGCTTCCTAAGCATGGACGAGAAGTTTCCAAACTCTTCCTCTAGCCTGTCTTTGTGAATGTTGGTGGGAAAAGGGAGCTTAGGCTTGTATTCAGCCACTACCGGTTGTGGCTTTGGAGCTTGATCCTTTGGCTCATTTTCCATCACCAGGTCTTCTTCCGGATCTGGAGTGATCTAGGTCACCTTCATGGCACTCTTCTGCGGTGCATCCGCAGTCACAGTCCCACTTCGCAGCGTAATGGCGTGCAACCACCCTTATGTTTTCTAGGATTTGGTAGGGATTGGCTAGGAAGTGTGCTAGCCGGTCTGAAAGCAAGGGCATCTGCCAGGTGCCCGATCTTGGTATCCATATCCTGTAGGAGTGCTTGCTGGTGTCTCTGGCCAACTTCAATCTACATGAATTTGCCTGCAGCCGCTTCCATGAATTGCTCCAATTTATTGAACTTTTGGGTACTAGTGCTCGCCAAGGTAGTCACTATATCCCTCAGTTCCGACATGGGATCGCCCGGTGCTGCGACTGATGGAGGTGCACCAGGTTGCTAGTACTGCTGCTATGGAGGCTGTTGAAAAGCATGCCCCTGTCTGAGCTGATAGAGTGGTTGTTGTTACTGCATCTGGCCACTCCTTGGCCCGCCCCTCCAGAGTAAATGGGAAGTACCTCAGCTGGATGGCATTGGCTGAGACCCTATTTATCTTGATTCCATCGATGAGCTCGTGGAATTGCCTCAGATGTGATCGGGGGCACTCCCCCTCCTTGCCTCGGAACACCACTGAACCGCGCATCATGGTGATGACAGAGGTGCTCACCTCAAAGTTATTTGCTGGCACATGAGGGTGCTGAATGGGCGACCTCATGTCCGCGGCTCTGGCGGTCCAGTAGTATCCCATGGTCTGCTCCTCAGGAAGAACCACATCATGGTCCTGTGGGTCCCCCATCTCTTCTTCATCGGTGATTTGCAGCTGTGCTAGCGCCTCCTCCACAGCCAGTCACAACTTTAGAGCCCGCTTGAAGTTCCTACAGGTCCGTTCAAGCTCCTGGTTTAATGGTAGTAAATCTCCCGACTGGCTACGGGTCATGCACTACTTGCACACAATCAACAAAAGCAACCCGTGAAGGCACACAGGTGGAAGAGAGAAAATGCAGTAAAGAAAAAGCTAGAGTAACAAAATTTCACGTATCTCCAATAACCTAGAGGTTCCCCGACAACAGCGCCAAAAACTTGACACGCCAAAACACAACACCAAACTGCGACCAAGCGTAATCGCAATCCGAAAATGCAGTAACAGGCAAGCTCTAATTGTCAACCGGGGTCTAGATCTACTACTTACTCCGTGTATATCTGTTATCTAACAAACTAAGTTTATTGATTGTTGATTTAAGTAAAAGCAGTAAGAAAGCAAGAAATGGTTCGGTTTTCTACATCAAAGGAAGAGTCACTCGGGAATGAGTCCCCCTAGATCCTTAGTTAGGTCACAGTTGTAATTAATTTTGGTTGCTTTACTGTTGATTATACTGCGGAAGATCCGACAGTGGCTTGGAATCTCTTAAGCTGACCAAGCCCTCTCAGTCAAACTAGCCGGCAGACGACTAGTCTTCACCAGGATAGAACGCTGAGGCAATGAACACAGAACTCCACTACTGCAATCTCTTAAGCTGACCAAGCCCTCTCACTACTACCGAATGAAGAAGATCTAACAACCTAATCATATTCTATATATCTCAGGTTCCATAAAGAGAGAGAGAGAGAGAGAGAGAGAGAGAGAGAGAGAGAAACACAGAAATCAAAGTAGTCATACTCATAAAGATGAGGAAAATCTGCTCTGGGATGTCAATCTTCACTCCTGGGGATGCAATCTGGGCTTCAATGGTAAAAAATCCACTCCAAATAGCTCCTACGGTTTGTTCTTCGCACTTTATCTCTTTAGAAAAACTCTGTTTTTGCTCCAAAAAGTCGACTCCCTCTCCTTTGGCTCGAATCTGCCTCAAAACTCGATTCTGGGCAAAACACGGTCGAGGGCACGACCGTGTTTTGCTTTAATTTTGGGTAGACCGTTTCTCGCCACGCCAAGGAACTTATTGATGTGCATAGTGGTAAATTAATCCTGCGGGCTGGGGATGAACAGGCTACGTTTTCTGTGTCTGACAATGGGAAGCACTCCCATTTGCATGATGACCTGGATTTTTGTGATATGCTTGCTGATTTTGAGACCACACTCGCCATAACGAGTGTGGGTACTGACAATGCTCTTGAGCGCTGTATTTTGCTAGGTGAGCAGGCATCACAGGATCCGCAGCTGGAGCAGCATCTGGCCGCGCTGTAGAGTGGCAAATTTTTGGAGGGCGATAGGCTGTTCAAACCGATCTCATCCTCACCTCACACCACCACCTCCTTGGAGGAGCCACCAGAAATGGAGCTAAAGCCCCTCCCTCCTCATTTGGAGTATGCTTTTCTCCGGGAGGGGAACAAGCTTCCAGTCATCATTAGCTCGACCCTCACACCCGAGAAGAAGGTCATACTGGTGGCCTTGCTGAAGCAGTACGAGCGAGCTTTTGCGTGGTAGATCACTGATATCCGGGGGATCAGTCCCTCTTTTTGCTCCCACCGGATATTGCTAGAGGATGAGATGCGGCCAGGGAGACAGCCCCAATGGAGATTGACACCGAACTTGGAGGCTGTGGTTTGGGCAGAGAATGTGAAGCTGATGAACGCGGGGATCATCTTTGTCATTTCTGACAGTGAGTGGGTCAGTCCCACCCAGGTGGTACCCAAAAAGGGTGGGATGACTGTGGTGCCTAACGAGAAGAAAGGGCTCATCCCGATCCGCACGGTGACTGTGTACCGTGTCTGCATCGACTACCGGCGTCTCAACGACGCCACTCGGAAGGATCACTTCCTGCTACCCTTCATTGACCAGATGCTGGAGAGGCTGGAGGGGCACGAGTTCTACTGTTTCTTGGACGGGATGTCTGAGTATTTCTAGATTCCCATTGCACCGGAAGACCAGGCGAAGACCACCTTTACCAACCCTTTCGACACATTCACTTACCGGAGGATCCCATTCGAGCTTTGTAATGCCCCAACCACATTTCAGCGCTACATGCTCGCCATCTTCAGCGATATTATGGAGGTGTTTATGGACTAATTTGCGGTTTATGGGGACTCATTCTCTCACTGTCTCCATAACCTAGAATTCGTCCTTAAACGGTGTGAAGAGACGAACCTGGCATTGAGTTGGGAGAAGTGCCACCACATGGTGCGCGAAGGTATAGTCCTGGGGCATAAGATCTCTAAGATGCGGATTGAGGTGGACAGGGCCAAGATCGATACCATCAGTAAGCTGCCTCCTCCCACTTCTGTTAAGGGGATCCACAGTTTCTTGTAGAGCATCATTCGTGGAGACCTGCAGGGTTTTACATGCGGTTCATCAAGGATTTCTAGAAGATGGCCTTGCCCTTGACAAAGCTCCTTGATAATGATTCCCCCTTCCAGTTCACTGATTCATGCACAACGGCATTCACGACCTTGAAGGAGAAGCTCACTCATGCTCCTATCATGGTCACTCCTGACTAGTCCCTACCGTTCGAGTTGATGTGCGATGCCAGTGACTTTGCTGGTGGAGCTGTTTTGGGGCAGAGGCGCGATCGACACTTCCGTCCTATCTACTACGCCTCGAAGACCCTCAACGATGCCCAAGAAAACTACACCACCACAGAAAAGGAGCTGCTCGCGGTGGTGTTCGCCCTTGACAAGTTTTGCCTTTATCTGGTCTTGTCCCATGTGACCGTGTACACAAATGACTCCGCAATACGATACCTGATGAGTTAGGCTGATGCCAAGCCTAGGCTCATACGATGGATCCTATTACTGCAGGATTTTGTTATCGAGATCCGGGACGAGAAGGGAGCTGAAAATGTTGTTGTTGATCACCTCTCCCGGTTGGACACACCGCTATCGGACAACCTCGAGAAGGAGATCAACGACTCCTTCCCAGATAAGCGACTGATGTGATGTGCTTGGTGGAGAGTGTCACCCCTTGGTACTCTGATTTTGCTAATTATCTGGTGGGCCAGCAGCTACCTAAGGGGATGACGACTCACGCCAAGAGGAAGTTCTTCTCCGACCTGAAGCACTACTTCTAGGATGACCATCATCTATTGAGGATCTGAGCCGACAGGATAATCTGTCGTTGTTTCATGGTGAATGAGATGGTGGACATTCTATCTCATTGCCATGAGGGACCTACTGGCAGGCACCATGGTGGTAACCGCACGGCACATAAGGTACTACAGTCGGGCTTCTACTGGCCCACGCTCTTCAAGGATGCAGACACCTTCGCACTCCGGTGCCACCGATGACAGAGGTCAAGTAACATCTCTGCCCGTGATGAGATACCCCAGAATGTGTTTATAACCTGTGAGATTTTTTATGTCTAGGGTATCGACTTCATGGGCCCCATCCCTCCATCATTCGGTAATACTTACATCTTAGTTGTTGTTGATTACGTCTCTAGTTGGGCCGAGGCGCAAGCTTTGCCCACCAATGATGCTAGACGTGTTTGTCAATTTTTGAAGCAGTTATTCTCATGAATGATGCTAGATATGTTTGTCAATTTTTGAAGCAGTTATTCTCATGATTCGGGACACCTAGAGCCATCATAAGCGACCGGGCCATCCATTTCCAGAGCCAGTTTGATAAATTATTGTCTCACTATGGTGTCACTCATAAGGTGTCCGTGGCCTACCACTCTCAAACTAGTGGTCAGGCTGAGCTGACGAATCGGGAGCTTAAGCGTATACTGGAGAAAACGGTGGATCAATCTCCCACGGATTGGTCCACCAAGCTCGATGATGCTCTCTGGGTATACCAGACTGCCTACAAGACGTCGATTGGTACTTCACCATATCGGTTGTATATGGAAAGGCATGTCACTTTCCAGTGGAGCTAGAGCACAAGGCCTTCTGGGCACTTAAGCTGCTCAACTTGGATGTTAGTCTTGCAGGCACTAAACGAAAACTGCAAATGCTGGGGCTGGAAGAGTGGCGCTACCACGCATATGAGAACACCAAGTTGTATAAGGAGCGAACTAAGCGTCTTCACAACGCTCGATTAAGTTGTCCGAAGGAGTTTCAGGTTGGTGATCGAGTTCTCCTCTATAACTCTCGCCTGGAACTCTTTCCTGGAAAACTCCTCTCCCAGTGGTCTGGACCGTTGACGGTTACAGAGGTGTTTCCATATGGCACGATCGAGATTGCCAACCCGCAAACTGAGCCATTTAAAATGAATGGCTATCGTCTCAAACTCTATCTGGGAGATGAGGTCAAACATGGAGAATTGGTGATTGAACTTGCGGACCCTTAGTTCCACCATGGGCGTCCAGCTAAAAGACGGTAAAGAAGCGCTTGTGGAGAGTCAACCCCACTACGGTTTGCATTTCTTTTCCCCTTTTTCCGTTGTTTTGTCGTGTGTTCGAGTCAGTTGCACGTCTGTGTTGAAGTTAGTTCGTCTGATCTGCCTCGGTTTGGTGTTTTCGTGCAGGGGTGTTCAAAAAAAATGAGAAAAATTGCTTTTTGGCCGAAAAGAGAAAAATACCAGGCCTTGGCACAAAACACCCGACCGGGTATTTTTGTGTCGCGGCCGGGACCCCTTCTGAGATTTTGGGCGGAGAAGGGCAATACCCGACATCGACCCAAAATACACGACCAGGTATTTTGGTCTCTTGACCGGGACCCCTTCTGTCCAGGGGCACGAAAAGGGCAAAAGCCCAATCTTGACCCAAAAATACCCGACCGGGTATTTTTGCTTCAAGGCCGGGTTTTTCCCGCAACGTGGTACGCTGCGTTGCGGAATACCCGACCGCAACCTCAAAATACCCGACCGGGTCTTTTTGCTTTATAAGCGAACCCCCGATCGGCCCTTTCTCTCTCCTCTCATTTTTTCAGAACACTCCCTCTCTTCCTTCTCATTTCCTCTCCTTCGCTCTCTCGCGTGAGCGACCGCCGGCCGCCGCTCCACCGGCACCGCGCCGCCGCGCCGCCGGCGGGTTTTCCGGCAAACTTTTCTGGCCCGTTTCCTGAGCATTTGTGTTTCCAGAATCATGTCTCTCGACCATCCCTTTGTGCAGGGGATATCTCATAACTCGAGATTTTTGTTTGTCTACTTCTATTCAATTGGGTCCTAAATAGCTAGAAATCAGTTTTCTAATTTGCTGGGTGAATTGGTGTTTATGATAAAACTTGGTCAATTGTTTGTTTTGCTGGTTATTTCTTTATTTTATTTTTTTGCTATAAAATGATTTTCATAT